GAAATGATGTCAAATTCCTCCTTGGCGTACAACTGAGCCGATTGATAGTGAAGCAGATTTATGGGTGTGTTGCAAAATATTTTTCATGGTCTCTTTAAACACCTATTCACATCAGAACAAAGGTGCTGTAAAAGGCTTTTATATCATTCAATTGTCCAAGCTTGGTCAATGCTATAGCATTTAAATGCTCTCACTTTTTCCTCATTCCCTTGAGTTCGCTGCTGAGCACAGTCTTCCCACTGAGTGCCATGGCAGCAGGAGCACCTCAGCCAGGGTGCTAATGTTGGAAACAGTTCTGATTTAATTAATTTCAACCCAAGATGTAGAACAACTTCACAGTTCTTGTGTAATCAAAATTGAGAGGAAATACAGACTCCTTTCGGGCTGCCTCTTTTGCCTCTTGTTTTTAATCTATAGCATACTACTTGTGCTACCTGTTTTAGTCTGGGGGAGGGTAACTCCTGAGTCTTTTCTGATGTGGAGATTTTCTACAGTACCTGGGTGTTTAAATCCTTTGTGCTGTTGATTTTGATCTAACACCTGCTACTTCTGCAAAATAGCATGCAAGAGACAGGAGACATTTGCACGCCAGAGATACCATGAGTGATAACTCCAGTATCAGCCATCTGCTAGACCCTTTGTTTACTGCCTTTCTTTGTACTGAAGTTCAAATATTTTGGAATGAATGAGGGGAAAACACAAGTAACTCCTCAACTCAGCTTTAGTTTCTTTATGAACAACATCTGCAGAATATGATAGGAAAAAAACATCTGTTTCCAGTGGCTTTGCTGTATTCTGCTTTTCTATTGATTCATACACAAACCTGAAGCTGGGCTGTTTGGGGTGTTGTCTCCATATTTATCATGTAAAAACCCCAGGCAAATTCAATACACAAAGGTAAAATACTCAGAAGAGGAGCAGGTATTAGTGGGCCCACAGTAAGCCTGAATCAACTACATAACTTCTGGATGAAGAGTCTTTCATATGGAAATTAAAGCTGAGCTACCTAAAGAGAGAGAAATCCCAAAACATATCCATTTTCTAATGGTAACAGCATTGCTCATGGCAAGATTTACTGTAAAGTAGAGGTGAACTTTTGTCTGTATTGATTAGTTTCATCTGGTCTGTGATAATTTAATGTATTGGAAACGCTTGTGCTTGTTTGCCTAGCAGACCAGTATGCCTGGTTCTACTGTGAGAGTCTGTATTTCTCTTAGATGTTGGAGAGATTCTGGGCAATGCCTGTGTAACCTGGAAAGTGGCTGTGGTTTCCCACTGCATCTATGAATGCATTTAAATTGAGGTAGAATACTTGAAAATCCATCCTTTAAGAATTTTGGGTGGAAAGCATTATTTATTTTTTTATTGTTGACCAAGCACAGCTTTAAATAGGCCTCCTTGTGCATGCAAAATTGAAATTTTCCCTTCATCTTACCAGGGCTCTCCCTCTCTCTCCCTCTCCCTCTCCCTGCTCAGCCTTTTAGCTCAACATTTAAAGAATTCACAGGGTTTGTGGAAGTTAGGCTCTCACGCCTCTTTTTAGTAAGAAGGGCATCCTATACCCATTAAATACTGTGGTGCATTTCTCTGTGCTGTTCCCATCCTTCTTTGGAAGCTCAGCTCTTTCACAGTAAAAGAACCCTTTTCCAAACCGGCTGGCTCAGAGGGGTAAGAAAATATATGACTCCACAGCCCAGGGATGCAGATGCCCACCAAAAAGGGGATTGATGCTTTTTCCATAAACCTCATCACACTGAAAGAATCACTGGACAAACAGAGCTGTTTGTGCCACATACAGCAGCAAGGTAATACATGTCCCTCTCCATCCATTAGTGACTTTAACCTCCTCCTTAGTTAAGAGATACACTAATGGCACTTCCTAACTGTTATAGGGATATCTTCTCCTTTAAGGGGGTTGGGCTGAAATGCTTCCTCTCATTTATAAAATTTCCTAGCACTGCAGAGAGTTAATGCAGAGAGCTCATTCTCCCTGTAGATTCTGCAAAACCTATTGCCTACAATTTATCAACCCATCTAGCTTTCTTATCAAAAATCTGAAACTGAATATGCTCTTGCCTTTAACAACCTTCCAGGAACACAGTGATAAATGCTGCCTTTTAACAGAACACTTTTGTAGGCCAGCGTAGGACAGGAAAACATTTATCAAAGAGGATGATACTAGGGCATACTGATACAAAGAAAACACAGAGAAAGAAAAAGTAATAAAATAGTCATGAGACAGTGTTTTTTTCTCTTTTATTCAATACAATTATAAAGTACTCCAGAAATGTGAAGATATTATTTGGCCCATCTTCTGATAACATTTTAGCCTGCCTACACACATATATAGGGAGATTTTTTTCCTAATATGTTGCATATTGTTTCTTTTTCATATTTATCTTCTAAGACTAGGAAATCAGAAGCCCCAGACAAAGAGCAGGTAACAACACGACACCTGTCACTAAACCAGGGGATTTTGATTGGAAAAAGAAATTGTGTAATTTCACTAGGGAAGGGACGCAGGGCTCCTTTGTCTGCCACCCATGACAGAGCATTTCCTTCAGAGCTGCAGGGCATGAAGGGAAGATTGGATCTCCCTCTGCTCCTGGCCCTAATGCACCCCAGCAGGGAGGAGAGAGGAGCCCCAAACAGATGCAACTTCTCAAGTTAGGAGTTACAAGTTGGGCTCCTCTCCAACTTGCAATGTGGCACGTGTGGATGCATGCAGGGACCCATTGTTGCTCAGGGTGAGCATACAGCTGCTATTTCCCACCTACAAAACCTTGTGCCAGCAGTTTCCTGCAAGAAACCAGGCAGGAGCAAGCCATGCAGCAGGCATTAACCCAGTTCTCAAATCATAAGGGTTACAAGAAATTTCCAGGAGAGGAGGAGTTATTATTGTATTTCATCTCATGTTGCACAATGCTGCTGTTTCGGCCACTAGATTAGTCAGTGATAGATCTATAATTACATATTCAGTGACAAAAGATCAATTAGGGTCACATCTTTTATACAGTCTGGTCTTTCAAGCATTTAATGAGCGTAACCCTCCAGTTTCATCTTTGCAGTTTCCATTGTTTTCAGAAAAAGAGAAAAGTAAAATAAACTATGTTTTGCATGTCTGAGTTCAGTAACCGTAAAAAATGTAAGCTACCAAAAAAAAAAAAAGAAGCAAGAATGCTTTTGAAAGCTTTGTTAAAATCACACGAAGAAGATTTTAGGTCTACTGCAAAAGAAGCAACCATTTTCTGGTCAAAATTATGCATCTGATAATTGAGCAAAGCATATTTCCAAATAAATTTAAAACCACTATTGTTAAAAAAAGAAGACAAGCAAACAAACAAAAAGGAATGTAGAAGTTACAAGAGTGGTTTCAGTAAGTTCTTTTGCTTGTTTTAGCAAAAACATTATTTCCTTCTCTTCTTCCTCTCACTGAAAATCAGACATGAAAAATAAAACAAACAATAGAGATATTCAATCTATCAATATAAATTGCCTTGGTACAGCTATAGCTGTCACATAAATTACAGGAGGAGAGGAGAGGAGAGGAGAGGAGAGGAGAGAAAAAGTGATGGCAAAATGGTAGAAAATGGCAGATGGAAAGGGGTGATTAGGGAAACCTCCAATACCCTCTAACAGTGAGCATGGTTAATTTGGCATGTGTCTTCCACTGTGTTTGATAAATCATCATCAGTACCTGGGGGTATTGATCATCAGAACTTTTCCTGTTCCTTAAATTATGTGTTT